TTTATCCACACATAGATATAGCTCTCACCTATTAGCTTTCTTCCCTGTTGCTATGATAAAATACTGACTAAAACTAGCTTGAGGAAGAAAGATTTTATTTCATCTTACAGTTCCCAGGTTATAGTCCATCCCTGAAAAAGTCAGGGCACAGACTCAAGGCACGCACCTGGAGGCAGGAATTGAAACAGGGGCCATGGAGGAACACTATTTGTTGACTTGCTCCCAATGGCTTGCTGGCTTGCTTAGCTCAACCTACCACCACCACCACCACCCTTTTGTGAGACAGGCTCTTTCTGCCCCTGGTTGCATTAGAACTTGCTAATTAAACCAGGCTGGCTTCAAACTCACAAAGATCTGCCTGTCTCCTCCTCCTGAGTGCTGTGATTAAAGGTGTGCACCACATGCCTGACCCCCAGCTTACTGCCCAGGACCACTGGTACCATCCATTGTGGGCTGGGCTTTCCCATACACCAATCAAGAAAATGTCCCACCAACATGTTCACAGGCCAATCTGATGGAGGTAATTTTTCAATTGAAGTGGCCTCTTGCCAAGTGACTCTAGGTTGTGTCAAGTTGTCAAATACTACCCAGCACACCCCTCATCAAAGAAGCTGCTTTTTGCAGCAGATGGAAAGGATTACAGAGTCAAATGCAGAGAATAAGGGACCATGGAGGTGCCCTGTAGCAACAGATGTATCTACAATGAAACCCTTAAACCTAAAGCTCAAGGAAAATTGTGGAAGACTGGTCAGATGTAAGAGCCAGAATACCAGGATGCCATTCTGGTGGAGAGGCAGTATCTTCTAGACATGATAGGGAAGCTGCACCCGTGAAGTCTCAGTAATATGGTTGCCTAAACAAGACCTGCAGAATGGCAACATGGATGGGAGGAATTTCACAAGAAGAGGAACAGGCAATGAATGGCTACCAAGAGGTAGCATCTGTCTTCTCCAGGAAAGAGTTCCCTGGTAGGTTTTCCAACCCCAAGTGGTCAGTCCCAAACACCTATACATAGGAGCAACACTAAATGATTAGTCCATACTAAGTAGATTCAGCAGGATATATATGAAGAGTTTGTGAATTGAGAGGAAGTGATAGGGATATAGGAGGAGGGGGAGGGGGAGGGGGAGGGAGAGAAATGATGTGAATACATAAATACAGTACTTTTATATAAAATATCAAAAAACAAAAATTTGAAATGAAAAGAAGTGGGGTACTATGGCTATCACTCTGTATGCTGTGAATGTTTTGGTCTGATTGGTTAATAAATAAAGTGCTGATTGGCCAGTAGCCAGGCAGGAAGTATAGGCAGGACAAGCAGAGAAGAGAATTCTAAGAGTCAGGAGTGGCCAGCCAGACACAGAGGAAGCAAGATGTGAAGGCAGAGCTGAGGAAAGGTGCCAAGCCACATGGCTGAACATAAATAAGAATTATGAGTTAGTTTAAATGTAAGAGCTAGTCAGTGGTAGGCCTAAGCTAATGTCTGAGCAGTTTCAATTAATATAAGCCTTTGTATGGTTACTTGGGTCCAAGTGGCTACAGGACTGGCAGGTGAGAGAGATTTGTCCTGATCATGGGCCAGGTTGGACACAGGAAAACTTCAGCTACAGTGGGGACAGGTCCTGCCCAGGCCAAGGTGGAAGGCAGCCAGAGGACACAGGGCGGGTGCCAATACAATGAGCAAGTATGAGTTAGAGAGAGGAGTGTGGCAGTTTGTGTACTGTGAAGAGAGGCAGAACTGGAGATGCCACCTTGGTGAGGAACAGACTGATATAAGAGGGCTTCACTGTCACCTGAGGTCATGGTGATGTCTGGGGCCCTGCTGCTGCTAAGGGCCATGTCTCGGTCCATGGCCCAACCTAAGTAGGGGTCTGTGTCTATGTCTGTGGCTCACATTATCACCAAAGGCCATGCATACATCCATGGTCTGGGCTGCCATCTGGGGTCATGCTGATGACTGAGTGCCTTCCTGAGCTGGCCCTGCTCCTTGTTGCACTTGGGAGAGCTGGTCTCAATGGTGTAAGCATGGGAGAGCTGGCAGGTTGACCAACTCAGCTACCATCCAGGTCCAGATCTAGGGCTTTGAATTGGCCCACCCCAACATCTACCCCACCTATGAACTGCTGAAGCTCATGATGGGACCAGTCCTGCAGAACTACAGTTGCAGAATTTCCATGACTCAGGGCAACATCAGGATATCCAAGATGAGTTTTGGTGAGGATCCAGTATTGATGGTGTAGTAGAAGCCAGAGGCCTTAAACTAGACCAACTACTCATTGCAATGAACATTTGCAAGTAATGCCATTTTGAACAAAAGGATATACTATGTGACACACCAGAGCTTTCACAGAAAGATTTTTTTTCCCTTTTAAGGGGAGGTTACAAGGGTGGAGGGTGGATATAGCAGGACTGGGAAATGGGTAGGGTTGGGGTACATGCTGTCAAATTCACAAAGAATCAATTTAAAAATTATTTTTAAAAAAGTTGGATGTGAGGCCAAAGAAATGGCTTTAGTGTTAAGAGCACTTGCTCCTTTTGCAGAAGACCCAGGTTCTTTTTAAACGCCCACACAAATATTTATAATTAATGCTAAGTCTCTGAGTGGTTATTTGGGAGCAGCTGCCAGGACACAGAGAAATTCCACCTACAATGTGTTCCAGGACAACCAGCATTACATAGTGAGACTCTGTCTCAAAACAAACAAACAAACAAACAAAAGGTTTATTTATTTTTAATTTCGTGTCTGTATGTGTGTGGGTGTGTGCATATGAGTACAGGTATAGTTGGAGGCCAGGAGAGGGCATTGAATCCCCTAGAACTGGAGTTACAGAAGTTGTAAGCCACTTGATATGAACGCCAGGAATCAAACTCGGGTCCTCTAGAAGAGTAGTACACTCTCTTAACTGCTCTTCATCCCCTTGAATAGACACTTCTCAGAAAGATGTATAGATGTCCTCTAATCATGTGAAAAACCTGAATAATGTCCCTAGTCACCAGAGAATGCAACCCAAACTACCAGACACTAACACACACACAAACACACACACACACACACACACACACACACACACACACACACAAAGTGTTGATGAAAATGTGGAGAAATAGGAATGCTTGTACGGGGCCAGTGAGACTGGAAACAGGTTGCTGTGGAAGCCTGTAGCATATCAGCCATGGAGATGGCTTATCAGGTAAAGCACTTGCCACTAAGGTTGACAACCTGATTTTGATCCCAGGGCCTACATGGAAGGAAAGAACTGACTCCTGCAAGTTGTCCTGTCATTTCTACATGTGCACCATGGCACACACCATATCACACACCATGGCACACACCACTGCCCCACAAGAAATAAAAGAATGTAATACAGAATTGATAAGCAAACGTAAATACAGTGTTCCTGTAAATCACACTAATAAAACTTGGTGGATGCGCGTGCGCGATCGGAAGGTGGGCCAGTTGGGAAGAGGAAGGGGGTCAGCAGAATTGGGAGGGGAAAGAGAGGGCGACAGAGGTGAATACGATCAAAATACATATGTACATGTATGTAAATGTCATAATAAAACTCATTATGCTAACTTAATATCTACTATTAAAAACATGAACAGTGGAGCTAGAGAAGCACTTGCTGCTCTTCCAGAGGACTGGAATTCCATTCCCAGCACCCATGTTAGTGCCTCACAATCACCTGTAACTCCAGCTCCAGGGTATCAGACACCCTCTTCCCGCCTCAGGCATTGCACTCACCCTGCACAGACATCTCCCCGCAAGACACATAATTAAAAATAAAATAAAACTTTAAATGTATATAATTTAAATATTTTAAAAGAGTAGTAAATTGTTTAAGTGTGACAAACAGAGGGGCTTGGACTGGGAATTGGCTAGTCCACAGAGTTGGCACAGACACACGCACCCTCCCTCTTTCAAGGCCAGAATCTGAACTCAGGCTCTGTGCGGGCCATGCAAGCACTGTACCGTGGAGCACCACACCCGGCAGCATCAGCTCTGTCTTTTCAGAAAGAAACAGGATGCAGCTCACTTGGTACAGGATACCAGAGTTGGAAGCTGGACATAGTATCACTTTCTTATCCCAGTGCTGGGATGAGAGGACAGGTAGCTCCTCGCTGAAGCAAGCAGGCCACCTGGCGACCCAGAAAGTCCCTGGACAGACTCTGTCTCAAAAAAACAAGTTGGGGCCGGGTGGTGGTGGCCCACGCCTTTAATCCCAGCACTTGGGAGGCAGAGCCAGGTGAGTTCGAGGCCAGCCTGGGCTACAGAGTGAGTTCCAGAACAGGCACTAAAACTACACAGAGAAACCCTGTCTCAAAAAATCAAAAAAAAAAAAAAAAAAAAAAAAAAAGTTGGGAGGCACCAGAAATATGATAGCTGACACTGTCCTCTGACCCCACACAAACATGCATATGTGAACCTGCACACACTTAAACAGAAGGGCGTGAGGAAGGAGGAGGGTTACAAACCAAGCCAAGTGACATCTCTATGAAAATGCCATAAAGAAACCTATGGTGAGACCCTGTCTCAATTTAAATAAATCCGAAGAATGGCAAACAAACAAACAAACAAAAAAAGACACAAATGAGTTGGGTCGGCGGGAGGTCATAAGTGAAGGACTGGTTAGCTGTGTATCAAGGGCACAGGTAATATTTGGGACTTTATGTTGTTTGTTTTTGAGCCAGGGTCCCATGATGCACAGTCTGTCTTGGAACTCACTATGTACATGATCCTCCTGCCTCCACCTTCTAAGTGCTGGGATTACAGACGTGGGACTCCAGTCTCGGTTTCCAACCTAGGACTTCGTGCATGCTTGGCAAGCACTTCACCCCCTGAGCCAAAGCCTCTGCCTTGGGGTTGATTTTCAATCCTCCTTAGAATGCGTCTCCGTTTCTGGCCAGTAGGTGGCGATCGAGCTCGCCCACTACGAGTCACTGGGAGCGGCTGTTCTTGCCTTCCCTTCTCGCCGCCTCTTCTTCCGCTTCCGGGAGGCGGTGGGAGCGTCACTTCCAGGCGCTCCGCGTGGACCGGCTTGGAAGGCTCCCTGCAGCATGGCGGTGTTAGCCGGCCCCTCCGAGCCGAGCCTGGCGCTGAACCCGCTGGAAGACTCCAAGTTTCAGGAGCAGCTGACGCAGATCCAGCAGCGCGCGAAAAAGGTGAGCGGCGGGGCGGCCGGGCTGCATGGGGAGCCGAGCTCTCACGGGCTTGGAGACTGCGGTTCGAGTCAGGAAACTGAGGCAGGTCGGGATCGGTGTGAGCGTGGGTCCCGGGGCCCTCGGGACTCAGGTGGAGACAACGCGGCACCGCGCGTAGGAGCATGGCACAACCAGAGAGGCGTCCACTTTGGCTCGCGAAGTGAGGGTTCCGGGGCTCCCGCAGCACCCGGAAGGTGGATGTGTCTGTCCCCTTACGTTGGAGTGCTTAGAAGACGGAATGACATCCCCTGACCCAGCACCCGGGAGGGGAAGCAGGAGGATCGAGCGTCGGAAGTAGCCTGGACTACACATTCAGACCAGGGCTAGCTAAAGAAAATAGAGACGGTGCCAGGCGGTGGTGGCGCACCCCTTTAATCCCAGCCCTCAGGAGGCAGAGGCAGGCGGATCTCTGTGAGTTCGAGGCAGCCAGGGCTACACAGAGAAACCCTGCCTCGAAAAAAATTTAAAAAAAGAAGAAAAGAAAGAAGATAGAGACATTACTTGTCGATCTCTATTGGCCGACAATGGCCCCAACAAAAGTTTACATTCCCTTTGGTTTTTAGCATGAAGTGCACTGGAGAAAAAGAAAGTTGGTTTTTTTTTTTTTTTGGTCGTTGTGGGGTCTTTTGGGGAGGGTTGTTGTTTGTTTGTTTGTTTGTTTTAATTTTTAAATGTCACTACCGGGTCTACTGTAGCCCAAGCTACCCTTAAATTTACTGTGTGTAGCTGAGGCCTTGAACCCTGGTGTCCACTTCCTGAATGGTGAAATTACAGGCCGGAGTCACTCTACTTGATGGAAAACAAGCAGGTTAGAGTATGGTGACAGAGAAGTACAATCTGCATTGTCAAGGCTAACAGCTGGAAATAGTATGCTTAGGTGTGAGTAAACTGTCATCTACATTCAGAGTTAAAGGTCCCGGGGGTCAGTAACAGTGGCAGACATTAGCTTGCTTGTCCGTTCACTCACAGTACAGCCAGCTCACCAGCACATGTTGTACTGAGGCATTAGACAACTTTTTGTGGGAGTGGGTGAGTGTGGACGTGTGTGTCCATGGTGTGCGTAATGGTGCATGTGTAAATCAGAAGACAGCCCTTGAGAGTTTGTCTATTGCTCTGTGGCCTCTGTGATTGAGCCGTCTTGCTGCCCCAAGAAAACCATTGACAGCCTGACAGTTTTCCTTAAGGAAAGAGAGACATCAAAAACCTAGTTCTTTAATTACTACTGTGTTAGGCATATGAGTAGGTTCCTATACCGAGGGGAGGGAAGAGTTTTGAAAGTTTTGTTATAAGCCAGGCAAGGTGATATATACCTTCAGTCCCAGTGCTGGGGAAGCATAGGCAGGCAGATCTCTACCTATCCCCTAAAAAGACTTTAGAATTAATAACCCTCAAAGGCCATGGTGGAGGCCTTTAATCCCAGGATTCAAGAGTTAGAGGCCAGCCTAGTCTACATAGTGAGTTCCACTCCAGCCAAGGTTCCATACTGAGACCCTGTTCGGAAAAGTATACACACACTCACAGAAGTTTTGGTGCAGCATGAGTTTGTGTTTTTAAAATGTTTATCTGTTGTTTTTGTCCTCAGCAGAAGAAGGGAGAAAATCTTAAGCCTGGAGTCATCTTTCTGGGCCACCTGCCATCAACACTTAGCGAAAGCCACATCTATGACTACTTTACCCAGTTTGGTACTATTAACAGATTTAGACTGTCCAGGAGTAAACGGGTAAGATGATTTATCTGAAATCAAATGTGTGTACTTGTGTTTTTCAATTGTGTGTCATCTTTTGTATTTATAGGCACAACATTGTCACCTACAAAGTTCACACTCAAGAACTTTTCACAAGCCGGTTATGATAGTGCACGCCTTTAATCCCCCCACTGAGGAAGTAGAGGCCAGCAGATTTCTGTTGAGTTCCAAGCCAGCCTGGCTTGTGTCATGAGTTCCTGGTCAGCCAGAGATACATAAGGAGAGCCTGACTGTAAATAAGTAAATACAAATAAAATAGCTTCACAAGTTGCAGTGGAGTCACAGGAAGATAAGCCTGGCATAGTGGCGCACACCTTCAATCTCAACCCTTGGGAGGCAGAGGCTGGCAGATCTCTTGAGTTTGAGGCTAGCCTCAGCCTCCTTTGTAACCAGGATTACAGATGTGGCCAGGCTGCTATGGTTTTTGTTTGTTTTGTTTTTCGAGACAGGGTTTCTCTCTGTAACAGCCCTAGCTGTCCTGGAACTCACTTTGTAGACCACGCTAGCCTTGAACTCACAGAGATCCATCTGCCCCCGCCTCCCAAGTGCTGGGATTAAAGGTGTGCTCCACCATGCCTGGGCACACTGCTATGTTCTTAATGAAGCAACATGCGTGTGACAAATAGGACTGCCCATGATACTCCAAAGAGCAGAGTCTAGGACTATGGAAGCCCAGAGACGGCCTTCCATGTGCCTTTCTCGGGGAGTTAAAGGAGGCCAGAAAATCTGTGTTCCAGGTTGTAACTGTCTTAGTTGTTTTCTTTTTGTATGACAGTTCCAGGGTGTGTGGAGTGGGGTTGGAGTTAAAGTGGTAACATGGCGTCTCCTGAGCACCCACAGGGGCATGTTAGGAGCTTGGTGATGTGTTAGATTTAACTGTTCCTTTTGTGGGTTTTCTGTTGCAGACTGGAAACAGCAGAGGGTATGCCTTTGTGGAGTTTGAGTCTGAGGATGTTGCCAAGATAGTTGCAGAAACAATGGACAACTACCTTTTTGGTGAAAGACTTCTATCGTGTGAGTGCTCTGACCTAGCACAAGGGCTGTTTCTATACTGATGGGATTAAGCAGTTACTTGTGGGGCTTGTACTCAGGAAGAAGAGCTAACCCATCCTTAGTGGGTGATTAAAAAGGACTTTGCTGCGGAAATACTCAGATTGGAAACTGATACAGTTAAAGCCTAGCATGGTAGCATGAGCCTTTAATCCTAGCACGTGGGAGGCAGAGACAGGTAGATTTGTCGAAAAGAAAAGAAAAGAAAAGAAAAGAAAAGAAAAGAAAAGAGGGAAAAACGGACGTTATAGAGAGGCACGAGCCAGGTAAAGGGTAGGAGTGCAGACCAATGGCATCCCTGATCTAATGGATGGTAAATGCCAAACCAGAGGTGACTGGTGTTTAGTTGTTGGGAATGTGAGGGAACCAGAGTGGAGGAGAGATAGGCTACAGGTCAGATTCTTGATACCCATAAAACTCAGAGTTTATTCTGAGTTCTGTGTACAGCCCATTCATGAAGCCTAAACAGGTTAACACCAAAGGTAAAGAATCCCATTTCAAAATCCAGACTAAAGGACATTGGATGGCACGCTGGCTGCCAGCCTGGCTGCAGGTTCAGAGAGGATCTGAAGGAAACAAGGCAGACTGTGGTAGAGCAGAAAACCACATGCTCCACACAGATGCTCATCCAGACACACACGTGCATTCGCTGTACACAAGGCAGAGTGCAGTCGCTAACTTCTGTGTTCCATCCCAGGACGCCTGTAGCGTCGCCATCCAGATCTCTGTCCTTGGAAGCCTACCTACACCCATGGTAGAGTGCCCTGCCCTAGGACCGGTCCAGAGGTTGACAGGGCTTGCTGTCACATTGTTCTCCTAGTTCCTTCACCACGAGAGACAGTCTCAGTGGCCTGATGGGGAGCCGTGCTCAGTTGTAAGCGTGGCTCCTGTTAGGGAAGGGCTGGGCGGGAACCTAGGAGGACTGGTGCTGCACTCCCTCTGCGTTGAGGGAAAACAGCAGAAAGGGCTCTGGATTCGACAGACTTTTCTGGCTATTGCCTCGAATCATTAGCCGCCCAGGATAGAATGGGATCGTCTCGGCCCAGGAGTGTAGCTTAGCTCGTAGAACGCTGGCCTAGCATGCACAAGGCCATGGATTTCATCTCTTATCAACACACAGACTGCATCTCATGGCACAGGCCTTTAATGCCTGTACTCAGCATTAAATGTGGACGCTGGAGGATCAAAAATTAAAAATTCAAGGTTATTCTGGGCAAAACAGGGTGTTGAGAGCTCCTTAGACTACGTGAGACACTGTGTAGAAAAAGAGGACAGACAGGTGGCTCAGCAGGTAAGATGCTTGCTGTGAAAGTGTGACAATCCAAGTTCAATCCCCAGAACCCACGTAAAGGTGGAAAGAGAACCAACTTCACAAAGCTGTCCTCTGGCCTCCACATGTGTTGAGGCATGTGAGCCCACACACATGCGTTTGCATAGACAATAATTGTTTGAGTTTCTAAAAGGTATTTTTTCTGCCATGTAGTTAGTTCATACCACAAGAAATGGCCCTAGAGAAAATATAAAATTAAAGTTAAGATCCTTTCTTTTTTTGCTTTTTGTTTGTTTTGTTCTTTTTATATATAGGTAAATTTCTGCCACCAGAAAAAGTCCATAAAGAACTTTTTAAACAGTGGAATGTTCCATTTCAACAGCCATCATTTCCAGCAGTGAAACGCTATAATCAGAAACGGGGACATTTGGAAATGTTAAAGATGGAATGTCGGTTTAAGAAGAAGGAAAAATTACTCCGGAAGAAGCTAGCTAAGAAGGGGATTGATTATAGTTTCCCTTCATTGGTAAGTGTCCTTTTCTGAGTTTTCTTAGTGGTTTTTCTTAGTGGTGGGGATTCTACCTCACTAGTCTGGCACAAATCTATATGATTGTAAAGACTGTTTCAGTGCTTCTCACATGCTAGGATTTTGGTTTGTTTGGGGGTGTGTGGTTATTTTGGTTGATTAGTGGTCAGGTTAGAGTCTGACAATGCTAGGCAAGTAAGTGGTCTATTGCTGAGTACTTGCCTACTTCTGTGTGTAAGGTTTTCACTAAAACTTTAAAACACCAGGCTGGAGAGATGGCTCAGAGGTTAAGAGCACTGGCTGTTCTTCCACATGTCCTGAGTTCAGTTCCCAGCAACCACATGGTGGCTCACAACCATCTACAATGAGATCTGGTGCCCTCCTCTGGCCTGCAGGGATACATGCAGACAGAACACTGTATGCATAATAAATAAATCTTAAAAAACAAAACAAAACTGAAACACTGCATTGTGGATTCTTTTTTTTTTTTGTTTGTTTTTTTTCGAGACAGGGTTTCTCTGTGTAGCTTTGCGCCTTTCCTGGAGCTCACTTGGTAGCCCAGGCTGGCCTCGAACTCACAGAGATCCGCCTGGCTCTGCCTCCCGAGTGCTGGGATTAAAGGCGTGCGCCACCAACGCCCGGCGGGATTCTTTTTAATGTTTATGGTACTGAAGGTGGAACCCAGAGCATTGAGAATGCATCATCCAACCCTCCCACCCCCAAACACTGTCTTCCTTTTAGAGAAAAAAAAATCACTGAGTCGCATGGCCTGGTTTGAAGGACGTCTGTAGCTCAGGCAAGCCTTTATCGTAGTTCCTCCTGCCTCTTGAGTTCCTGGGTAAATAAATGGACTTATAGCCCCACAGAGGCAGCTGCTGCTGTTGTGCCTGTTAAGAATGAGTCTTTTGTTCTGAGCTGGCATCACACTTGTTATGTAACTGAGGATGACAGAATTTCTGGCCTTCCTGCCTCTGCTTCCTAAGTGCTGGGATGCAGGTTTATACAGTCCTGCAGGTAAAAACCAGGGCTTTAAGTGTGCCACTTTATATAAACTATATCCCCAGGCCCCTGCCACCTTTCCCCTAAAATAATTTCCCACCTGTGTACCAAGTGGGTGCCTGGTGCCCTCGGAGGCCAGAAGAGGGTATCGGATCCCCTAAAGCTGTAGTTTACACTTGTGAACTATCATATGGGTGCTGGGAATTGAAACCTGGGTCCTCTGAAAGAGCATCCAGTGCTTTTAATTGTTGAAGCATCTCTCTAGTCTCCAGCATTTTGTTTTTAAACCGGAGTCTTACTACATGATCTATGCTCCCCACAATTGAAGGTCCTTCTGCTTCAGCCTTCCAAGCGCTGTGATTATGAACATGTGATACTCACCTGGGTTATAGCAAAGCCTTTGCCCCTGGTTACATTTGAACCATTTGGCAATTGGACATTGATGCTCAAAATAGGCATTCAGCTACAGCATATCATATAGCTGATAAATATGCAAATTATTAAATTCTTAATACTTATTTTCAGGTCTTACCTAAACCGAAGAAGGGGACTTCAAAGGACACCCTTAGCACTCCTAAGAATGCTGAAGATTCCAAGGTTACCCAGGTGAGATTGGCTTGAGGCTGGAGAGATGGCTCAGTGGTTAAGAGCACTGCCTGCTCTTCCAAAGGTCCTGAGTTCAATTCCCAGCAACCACATGGTGGCTCACAACCACCCATAATGAGATATGGTGCCCCCTTCTGGCATAAAGTTGTGCATGTAGATAAAACACTCATATATATAAATAAATAATAAGATTTTGAGCCGAGAAACCCTGTCTCAAAAAAAAAAAAATACAGAGAGATTGGCTTGATAATGGCCACCAATTACTGAGGAAATCCTTTCCAGGCGAGATGGCATGAAATGAAGGCACTTGCCACCAAGCCCAGCTCCCTAGTTCAATCTCTGGATCTTATGTGATTGAAGAAAAGAGCTGACTCCTACAAGTTGTCCTCTGACCTCCACACACAAAAAGTAATGATAAAAAGAAAATGTAAGGTGAATTACCTAAAAAAAGGAAGTAATTTCTGCTACTTCATTTTTTTTATTAAGTTGGTGTGTGTACATGAGTGTGTGTGTGTGTGTGTGTGTTTGGAGTTGTATTGAGGTATTTTTTGAGATTTGGTAATCTTAATGTAGCCCAAGTGAGCCCCAACTTACAACATAAGTTCTAAAGATGAACTTCTCATTCTCCTGCCCCCCACATCTCTGGTGCTGGGACTGTAGGTTTATGCCACTATAGCTGGTCGCTTGCAATGTGGATTCTTTTTTTGAGACAGGGTTTCTCTGTGTAACAGTGCTGGCTGTCCTGGAACTCACAGAGATCCTCCTGGCTCTGCCTTTTGAGTGCTGGGATTAAAGGTGTGCACCACCACTGCCCAGCCCCATTATGGATTCTTAAAAGCTTAAAATCGGGTGGAGATATGGGACAGTGAGAAAGAGCGCTTGCTATGCAAATATGAGGACCAGAGTTCAGATCCCAGCCCCCAAACAATGCCAGGCCTAGCTGTGTTCATGTTCTGCACATGTCTGCAACCCCAGGGAGAGGAGGCACGTGTGTACACATGAAGCTGTCCACCAACCAGCTTTGGGTTCAGTGAGAGACTTTGTCTTAGGGAAATAAAACAGCGATGGAGCAGGACACCAGGACCCTTCTGACCTGCAGGCTTGAGAGCCAGCATGTGGGTACTGGAAATTGAACCTAGGCCCTCTGGAAGAGCAGCCAGTGCTGAGCCATCTCTCCAGCCCCTTGATCTTCATTGTTATGCCATTCTAGATTCTGCTTTGTGTTCTTTTAAACTGTTATAGTCATAAAGTCGGTATTAGGAGGAGTCCGTTGAGCATCAGTTCTGCAACAGGTTTTGAGAGTGTAGGTTGGACTACAGTAACTCCAAGAACAAGAAGTGACTCAGCAGGGGTGTTTTTTTCTCTGGCTAAGTCCCTTTGTTGCTAGTCAGGAAGTGAGATGAGGAAGCTGGCTGGACTTTTCCTCCCCTACAGTAGGGAGTACCAGGTGTCTTTCACCATAAAACAAACAAGAACGTAGGTCATAAGGGCTGCACCTAGGTTTTCAGAAGGTCTTTCCTCTTCTCTTGGATGAATCTTGAGACTGTTTCCATCTTCCCTAGAACCTATCAGCCTTTTTCCAGAACACATAGTTGGGGAAAGAAGGCATCTGTTCTGGGCTTTAGACTTTCAGAAGCTAGGTGTCTGTTACCTCTTTGTCTCAGTCTTTAACAGTCACAGAAGTATTGTTCTGGGGACAGGGTGTGATGTGTTATCTTGGCTGGGATTATAGCAAAGCCTTTTCCCTGGTAGCATGAACTAAGTTAAAAATGGGCATACAACTATAGCATGTGCATGTAGCTGAGAAATAGGCAAATTGCATAATTCCTAGCTTCTGTTTTCAGGTTTCACCTACTCCAAGAGAAAGACTTTCAGGTGTACCTAGGAGAAAGGAGAAGAAGATGAGGAGGAGAATTGCAGAAAGCATTCGTAGGAGGTCTAAGAATTCTAAGAAGTCTGTGGACAGCGAGGTGAGTGTGCCTCATGTTCTGGGAGTCAGTTACTGTAGACAGAGTTCGAAGGAGGAAAATCAGTCTATGCTGTTCCGTTCAGTGGGGCTGAGTATTTGAGTGAGTATTTGAGGTTTTCTGTTTTTGATTATTTGACACAGGGTCTCATGTCATGTAGTCCAGGTAAGCATCCAGCTCACATTGTGGCCCAGGCTAGCCTAATTTCGGATCTTCCTGTCCCTGCCTCCTGAAAGCTGAGGTTACAAACAAACCATCAATTTGGCTAGATACCAGATTGAATCTTGTGACATTTTATTAGTAGATCCCTAACTAGTGACTTAACAATTTTGTATCTAATATCTCATAATAAAGTATTTCCAGTCAGTAAATTTGGTAAGCTCCGAAACTCTTTACTGTCTCCAGTTGTGTCAATTGAAGTATAAACAGGCTGAAAATAGATCACGTGGTACAACTTAAATTTAGGAGCATAGTGGTGGTGTTGGGTGATAGATAAAGCTAGAAAGTCAGTGACATTGGGTAGTTGTTCTAGATGCCTGTTCTCAGTCCTGGACTGTAATGTACTTGTTGGTTTCAGGGTCCCACACCAATTTGTACACCAACATTTTTGGAGAGACGAAAATCACAGGTGACCGAAATCAATGATGATAAAGATAATGAAATCATTTTCAAACAGCCTGTGTCCACAGTGAACGACGAGGGGCAAAAGACTCCAACACCTGCACGCTCTGGGAAAAAAAGACCAAGAAAGAGGAAGAGCAACCAGTGATCCTGAAAGCTCTCTGTGTGTACATCTTCTAGGCAGATGGGATTTTGTTATAAAGGCCTGCTATATTTTACTAGGTGCAGTGATGTGTAAGCCACTGATGAGACTGTCTGTGCCAGTGAGGAAAACCCTCAGGGACTTGGCTGTTTTGCCCTCTCCTGTCCTGATTTGTGTTCAGGCTTCACAGCTCCCATAGTTTGCTCGGCCTGTATCACATTACAGGCTTAACTACCACCAGCAGCCTTGTGGCCCCACCAGTGCTGTTTGACGGTCTGTGTGGTGTTTGTGCACATAAACCCAAAAGAGTATGTCGGGCTTCATCCTCAGACCTCTGAAACTGGAAGTTAAATACATGTAAGGAGGGGAGAAGGCAGTCCCAAGTGTGACGACAGATTTACACAAGTGCTGTGAGGATCTGGAATCACTTGTTTTCACCATAATTAATTACAGGTGAGCTCGTGAAGGTCCGATAGATCAGTTTCAGCAGTTACATTCAAGATTCAAACAGTGACCAAACTTTTCTACAATTGACCTGTGTACAAGAGAACCTAAGAACTTTGGGAGAGGGGGGATTTGTTCATCACCTGTTTTTGTTTCTCTGCCCCTTCTGTGCTTTTGTGTTGCCAGTGCAGGTTTGTTGAATATACCTGTCAATCACCGTTGAGCATTCTTTCATTCAGGTGTGGGTGTGAGCATACATACTTGTGTGTGAGAGTACACAAGCCCAAAGCGGAGACCCAGTGTCTTCTATCACTGTCCCTTACTCATTGAGATAGGCCTCTGTTTTGTTTTCTTTTTCAAGACAGTGTTTCTTTGTGTAGCCCTGGCTGTTCTGGAACTTGCTGTGTAGATCAGCCTGGTTTCAAACTGCCTCAAGATCTGCCTGCCTCTGCCTTCCAAATGCTGAGATTAAATGTATGCATCACCACTTCCCAGCTTAAGATAGGATGCTTAGTAAACCTGACTTCAGACCAAACACAAGAGTACCTTGATGGCCAGGTGTTGAGTTCAGGACCTAGGAGAAAACATTCTGAGTATGAGAGTCTTTCCCATTCATGAGCAGACGCGTGAGACTTTAGTACTTAGCTCCAGATAGCTAATGAATATAACTTAGAATCAAGGCAGAATGTCATGGCTTGTGGCCTATGACGTCTTTTGTATGTAGTGTAAGACAAACTATTTCTTCAATTACTTTACCTTATTGTGTATGTGTCTGAGGAGCACACGCAGGCTGTGGCACATGTATGGAAATCAGAACAACCCTTTTGGGACAGGTCCTCACAGAGCTAACCAGCAACCCCAGAGATCTCTTTTTCTCTGTCCAGAGGTGCTTGGAGGTCCTCACAGAGCTATCCAGCAAGCCCCTGAGATGTCTTTTTCTCTGTCCAGAGGTGCATCACCAAGCCTGGTTCTTCTATATCCATCTTACATCCTCGTGCTCTTGTGACAAAAAGTACTTTACTGTGCTGTCTTCCCAGCCCTATTTGTTGAAACAGTCTCATGTTTCCCAGGCTCCCCATGACCCTCCTGCATCTGTCTCTGGGTATGTACCACCTTACCTGGCATCTTTTCTCTCTTCCTCTTCATTCTACCACTGAGCTGTATCCTCAACCCTATGAAGTGGTTTTTAGATAATGTTTTGGAGTTACTGTGAGGAGATACCATGACCATGTCAACACTGGTTTTTTTTGGGGGGGGGTGGTTGGTTTTTTTTGAGACAGTAGCTTTGGAGCCTGCCCCTAAACTTGGTCTGTAGACCAGGCTGGCCTCAAACTCAGAGATGTACCTGTGTCTGCCTCCCAAGTACAGGTATTAAAGGTGTAAACCATTGCTGCCCGACAGACAATGGCAACTCTTATAAGCGAAAGCATTTAATTGGGTGACTTAACAGTTCAGAGGTTCAGTCCATTACCATCATGGTGGGACATGGTGCTGGAGAGGTAGCTGAGAGTTATACATCTTACGTAGGCAACAGGAAGTGAACTGGGACACTTGGTATCTTGAGCATATATGAGACCTCAAAGCCTGCCTCTACAGTGATACTTCCTCCAAAAAGACCACACCTACTAATTAGTGCTGCTCCCATTTTTTTTTTTTTTTTTTTTGGTTTTTTTTGAGACAGTGTTTCTCTAGTTTTGGTGCCTGTCCTAGATCTCAGAGCTCTATAGACCAGGCTGGCCTCGAACTCACAGAGATCTTCCTGGCTCTGTCTCCCAAGTGCTGGGATTAAAGGCGTGCGACACAGCTGCCCTGAGTGCTGGTCCCTCTGGGGGCCATTTTCTTTCAAATCAGCACAGATGACTGAAATCAGTGTACTTGTGATATCCTCCAACTTCAGCATGTGGACATCTGCATCCATTGCAGTCATGTTCAGGGAGTGACATCTGTCCTTGACTCTGACCAAAAACAAAATCTGACTACACGTGGACATAACAGGCTAGTGTTTGCCAGCGATTTAGTAATAGGAAACACCTTCACTTCTACAAAAACTGAAATGTGAGCAGAAGGGAAGCTGGAGACGTGGCTCAGAGGCCAACAGTACTTGTCATTCAGAGGAACTACATTTGATTCCCAGCACCCACATGACAATTGTCAGTAACTATCCTCTCCTGCTTCCAGGGGCACTAAGCACAACTGTGTGCAGGTGTACATGCAGGCAGAGTACCCACAGATACAAAACAACAGGGCCATCATTGTCCGTTTATCATCACAGTGCTTCATTGAGCAACCACATTACACCATTGTGTCATCAGAACACTCAAATGTGACATGGCTCATTTTAATGTCACCAAGGTCATACAATTCAAGGCTCCATTGTGGCATTGGCATTTGATACACAGGGTTCTATTGTGCTGTCCCATAGACAATAGAATGTTCACTAGTGACAGTGGTGCTCCACATGAGCTACTGTATCACCAATGGGTTGATATCACAGAACTGTGTTCTAGTAAATGCTCCATTGTGACATTTACAGTGTGACTGTGGCACCACACTTGAATAATATCAGTGCATCATATACCACCAAACTGAATTGTGACATTGTAAAGTTTATTTTGACATAGCCAACCTCCACTGTAATATTTTATGTTTGCTTGTGATGTCACAATCCTCAAATACTATGTTGAAATGCTCCATTGTGACCCTAAACTGAATTTTGGTATTCAGTGCTGAGCATAATGCTGTACATCTGTAATCCTCAGTAAGCTGAAGTAGGAGAAAGTTTGAGGGTAACCTGGGTTACATAGAATCTGCTTCAAAACCAAGAAAATAAGCTGGAGATTAGTGTAGCTAGCGTTTCCCTCCCTTGTCCACAGTCAGGACAAATCTCTCACCCACCAGTCCCACAGCCGCTCAGACCCAACCAAGTAAACGCAGAGACTTATATTGCTTACAAACTGTATGGCCGTGGCAGGCTTCTTGCTAACTGTTATTATATCTTAAATTAACCCATTTCTATAAATCTATACCTTGCCATGTGGCTCGTGGCTTACCGGCATCTTCACATGCAGCTTGTCATGGTGACAGCTGGCAGTGTCTCTGACTCAGCCTTCTACTTCCCAGAATTCTTCTCCTTGTTCTGCCTATACTTCCTCCTGCCTGACTACTGGCCAATCAGTGTTTTATTTATTGACCAATCAGAGCAACACATTTGCCATACAGAACATCCCACAGCAGATTAGCTTTGTAGTATGCTTGTTTGGAGAGCTTGAATCCCTGGGGTTCATTCCTAGCATTGAAAATTGGTCATGGTGGTACACAATGGAGGCAGGAGTATTTGAAGATTATCCTAGCTATATAGTGAGTTAAGGCTGGCCTGGCATGCAGGAAACCTTATCCAAAAAGGTGGAGGGTGGGTAGTATGACTTTCAACCCTTGAGTTCCCATTTAAGCACGAATAGTATGTGACTATAATAGTGGTTTACACCATTTCATGCTCATGTGTGTCAGACACTGTTGCAAGCACTGTAAGTATCTTAACTTTTTCCTTACTGTGTTGGTGGGGTGGGAAGTGTCCTTCTTAAGTCATGATTTCCCTTGTTTCTGCTGTGCTGTGTGCTCCAGGCTAGCTGGCCCACAAGCTTATAGGCGATTCTCATTTCTCTGCCCATTTCACTGTATGAGTGCTGGGATTACAGAAGCATGCCACTGCATATAACTTTCTGTGCAGTTTCTGGAGTTGGACTCAGCTCTTGAGACTTGTAACATAAGCACTTCTCCCTGCTGAGCCATGTTTCCAGGCCTAATTTTTTTCCTTTGAGACAGGGTTTCTCTGTGTAGCCCTGGCTGGCTTGGAACTCATTCTGTAGACCATACTGTCCTCTAACTCACAGAGATCCAACTGTCTCTGAATCCCAAGTCCTGGGATCAAAGGTGTGTGCCACCACCGCCCAGCTCTAAATCTTATTTTTAAGACAGGGTTTATTGCTGAACTTGGAGCTCACCATTTTAGTTAAACTGGCTGCCAGTGAGTTCCCAGGAACTGTCTGTCATGGCTGGTCAGCTGGGGTTTCAGGCATGTGCTGTCACTCCTAGCTTTTTATGTGGGTGCTCCAGTCCTTACTCATGCGTGCAATGCAAACACTTTTCCCACCAAACCATCTTCCCAGGTTCTAACTGGCTTAATGAGAACTACTCTATGAAGTGGTAGATTCTTCTCATCCAAAAGAGGGGGGAATTGAGTACTGTCAATGGTTCCCCAGTTAAAATGACTCAAGCCCTTGTTACAGTAGGACAAACTTGGCTGCTGTATTATTATTAGCAATGGAAAAGGAAAGACACAAAAGCCTTCTGGATGAGACCTGATGACTCTGAAGTTGGGATAGAAATGGGGGGATGGGGCAGTTACTCCAAAAAGAGGCCAAGATTTCTTACGTAGATTCAGTGCTGGCTAGTTTTATGACTACTTGACACAAACTGCACTCATCTGAGAGGAGAAAACTTCAATTGAGAAAATGCCTCCATAAGATAGGCATGTAAGCAGGCAAGCCTCTCCAGCATTCTTAATTAGTGATTGATGGGGGAGGGCCCAGCCCATTGTGGGTAGTGCCATCCCTAGGCTGGTGGTCCTGTGATAAGAAAGTATGCTGAGCAAGCTAGCAGGCAGCACCTCTCCATGACCTCTGCATCAGCTCCTGCCTCCAGGTTTCTGCCTTAACTTCCTTCAATGCATTGTGATTTGGAAATGTAAGAGGAAATAAACCCTTTCCTCCCTAAGTTGTTTTGGTCATGGTGTTTATCACAGCAATAGAAAACCTAACAAGATAGGTTCTCAAAATAACAGCAGCATACCACTAGGTGGCACTCGAGCCCAAAGACCAATCCTAAAAAAAGCAGGATCTGTCATTTACCGATTGCCAGAAGTACAAGATTATTAGGGCATTTTTACCATTACTTTTTTTTTTTTAAACAGTCTCCTGTATCCCCTACTATCCTCAAACTTGATGTGTAGCTAAAGACTGAATTCAAGGTCTTAAATTTCTGATATTCCTGCTCTACCTTCCAAGTGCTGGGATTGCAGACGTGTACTACTATGATGGTTTTGCAGTGTTGGGGATGGAACCCAGGGCTTTGTACATGCCAGGCAAGCATTCTACCAAAGGAGCTAGATTCCCAGACCCCAGCCTCTACTTAAAACTAAAATTCCATGTAGGGAATTTGA